CGCTAACCACAGGCAGATTGTTTAGTTCTTCTCCAAATAGAAACACAATAGTACACGCTCTATACTATATGTTCATAATTTAACTCAATTAATTTCAAAACGATTAGTTACTTACGTGTAAGATTAGCAGACTTACGGTCAGTTACAGTAAACAAAAATACAAAAATAAATAAATACGCCAAGACAATAATTATCTTTAAAGCAATAACGACGACGACGACGATGATGATGATGATGATGATGATGATGATATCAGTAATAAAATCACTAACCTGCAGTTTGAATTATCTATTATATAATTAATTACTTTTCTGTGTTTGAACTCCAAGAATACTGAAATAAAGTTACTAATATCTAAATAGAAAATCATCAGTAGATGTGATATTTTCACGTGTATGAGTGACTATAGAACGGGGTTTGGATTGGTGATTGGATCTTATGAACACTTACAGATCGTAATGACAAGTAACTAAAAAGCTACCGCTAATTCACATACTCAGCAGTTCATTGCTTCAAGTATTAAGTCTTCTCAGTATGCTGTGTTTTCAACAGTCGTTGTCTAGTATCGGCTTCCAACGGCGTAGACCACTCAACTTCCATGTTCACGTTCTTACTGGTCGGCGACTGTCTCACAATTAACTATACAAAAAGTCAAAGTCACATTGAGACTGACGGTCAGTCAGTTAGTCAGTCAGTCAGTCAGTCAGTCAGTCAGTCAGTCAGTCAGTCAGTCAGTCAGTCTTGGTGTCGAGGCCCAGATTTTATTACTGTTTGACAGCTACGATCTTGTTTGTGTGGGGCGCCCTCTCTGATGAGAGGATGGGTCTGTGTTTTGTATATGCTGCTGGGCCTTGTCAGCGCAGTATTTCTCTCGTCCGAGTCCCTTGGGACTCGCGACCATATTTTACTCTATCAGATTTAAGACTTCTCTTTTCTTCTCCTCCTACGACTCGCAGGGTCACGGTGGAGTGAAGTGGTAATAATTCTAATTAATATTTGAGAGGTACCCAATTCGAATATCATTCTGGTCATCGTTAAGCGAGGATTTTCTTGGTTTTCCTCACTCGCTCAGGAAAATATTGAGATAATAACTCAATTGCGTCATGAATTTACCTGTTCACGGTTCACGATTCTCCATTATTTACTTTTTGACGCTATAAAGTGTAAGACACTAATAAGGTCGTTAAATAAGCAATATATATAAATTATTATATAGCAACAACTGAAAGAGAACCGACATTTTACATCTTTGTAATTTGCGCTAAGATGGCTGCTTCTGCAGAACTGCGTATTCATTCTCAATTCAATAAAATTAGAGGAAATTTAAACAAGATATATATTACTATAATAAAATTTATTTAATTTAAAATCAAACTTATTATGATCCTTACATTCAATTCACATCCGAAAACTTGTACAAAATGTTAATTCAAAGTCCAGTAGATTCTCCGGGTGTGTTCACATCCATTCATGTGTTTTTCTTTATGGATTTACTGTTTTCTGAGGGAAATATAATCACAGAGGTTTGTTAATAATCGCTACGTATTTCTAGCCCACAGATCGTGACGTTCATCATGAACTATTCACGTTCTTCATAATACTGAAACCTGAAGTTCAGGACATTCAAATGCAAAAACAAATGTTTCGTCCAGATCCATGGACATTGCGTGTACTGGGCATCACACGTCATGAGACAAACTTACATTTAAAATTTCCTTAGTCATCATTTTCCATTATTTCTATTTTTATTTTTATTTTTAAGGATTGCATCTTGTTGCGTATATACAATGAACATATGTAATTTTTACCGTCAACGCAACAATACTTTATTGTTTATTAATTTTTTATATAGCAATCATTACATGTTTCGACCTCAAACAAGTCAATCTTGCAGCACCTGAAAATGACCCGCTTGAGGTCGAAACATTTAGTGCGTGCCATACAAATAAAAATATAAAGTATTGTTGTGTTGACGGTAAAATATTATGTACGTTCATCGTAATTTTCAAGTTTATAAATATTTATTAACCTTCGGAATAGCGGCCTCCATAGTCTACGGGTAACGTTCCCACCTCATGACTCAAGTTACGCGGGTTCAAACCCGGCGGAGGTCGTGGAATTTTTAAGGGCGGAAAAATTCAGGGAACAAGTCCTCCGGGAGGGACTTTAAGCCGTGGGTCCCGTGTCGTAGCTTTACGGCATGTAAAAGAACCTCATGTCTCAAGGAGGCCTCTGAGCCAAATTATAAGGACATTTCCCGCCCAACAATAGTCTCTAATGCCTCTGGTAGATGGGGGAAGCATCTAGATACTGCTGAGCCAGTAGAGGCCGAACTCGCTGGCTGAGTCGGGACTGATGGAACGCACCAGTACCGGTAGGGTATAGAGACTGGTAGAATATCACAGGGAGACGTACAATAGACCACTGGTCGTGGTGCATGAGGATCCCACCCCCTCCAATAATAATAATAATAATAATAATAATAATAATAATAATAATAATATCCTTCTGAATAGTAAGCTTTATCTAAACATTACTTAAATCTTAATTCTTAAGTTACAGAAAGCAAATTACTGTGCCACTACATGCATTAACTGGATAACGCTACGTCAATAAATAATCTATATTTATTTTGAGAATCAAACGAAACGTATAAATATAAGCTGCGGGTAAAACAAAAGGTTTCTAACATTAAAGAAGGTGACAAATATAGCAAGAGCTACGCTTTGAAACTGTCACTCGCAGCCTTCGTAACATGATGCAACTTTTTTTTTTTAATTTACACAAATATTGACACACCTCTCCCATTTTTTGACACAAATACATTTAAAGATTTGCATTCCTATTTATGTTATTTTTCACGATTAAATAATCGCTGTGATTTTATCCTTTTGGCTGGAGCCTATGGAGAAGATAAACACGCATAAAACATTAAATATGATTTTATTCGTTAAATTCTGAGCGATTTATATATTTGCTTGCTTATTTCGTATTCCTCACGGGATAGAATATGTTAGTATAAGGTTCCTCGCGTTGATATTCCATTCTGTGTATTGGCGCTCCGTGTCGAACTGTGATTATCTCTTTTTAAAGCTCCTTCATGTGTGTCTTCTAGTTTCCATCAAAAGGGGGAAAAGTAGTAACTGCTGTAAGGGGGCGCAGCACCCTCTGACAATGTGAAACAAATTGTTTTCCTTAACGAGGGTTAAGCACTACGCGATGAAGGCGTATGGGGGGGTGGATGTATAGATACACATTTTCATGACCTTGGCAGTACCTGGAGGTGAGTAGTCAAATTCACGCCCCGGCCGCTTTACCCACAGGGATAGAATCCCCGGTACCCACCGGATAGGAAGTTGGGTGGACCCCAGACATGGAGAAGAGAAAATTCTTGACCCTACTGGGACTAGAACTCCGGTCTCTCGGTCGTCCAGCCAACAGCCAGTCGCTATACCGACTACGCTATCCCGGATCCTACCAGACTAGCGTAGTAACAACGTATAAGCTGGCGTCTAATAAGTTTTCTTATGTGAAAACTGGGGAATTTGTGGTTTCATAAAGGCCCATGCTCCCCGACCGAAAGTATATTTGAAAATCAAAATTCTAAAATGGAAATTATTTACGGTGTTCTTATTTGATATTTAATAAGGCCGACAAATGTTGAAACCTAAACTTTTTTTTAAATTTAGACTAATAACTCTAGATGGTGCTTAGGTATGAGACGATTAAATTGGCAGGGAAATTAGTATTTCACTTGAATTTGACATTAAAAATTTACTTATAATGGCACTATGCGCCATATGAAATCCCTGACGCAACCCGCAGGGGGGAGTTCGACTCCCGTTTGAGAACAGTTGTTTAAAGCGTTAAACAGTTAGTTTCAAGTATTCAGTATTCGTAACAACCAAACATCAGCTTTCTCGTATATTATACGAACAGTGGACCTTAGAAAATGCTTTACTATTCAGAATTACTGGGTAGTTAGACTTTGCCCATCGTCCGATATTCTAAAATTTGGGAATGTAACGTTTCGGAAACTGGGTCTTTTTCCGTTTTCAGGTTAGATGGGAGACATTCACTCTGTTGGGTCCAGGTCCAGTGATTGAGTTTAGCTCTTTCTAATGGACCCAAAAGAGAGGGTATATCCCTCCTCACCTGAGGATGGAAACATATCCGCTTTCCGAAACGTTGTGATCTCTAGTTTTTAGAATACCGACCGATGGACAAAGTCCAAAATTCATAGCAATCCTGAGTGTTATACAGCATCGTCAGGACCCTTCTGGGGCTTCGTTCCTCATTGTTTTCCACTTCTCTGGCCTCTAACGAACATCTACTTTCGTGCCAGTTGCCAGGGGCGACCGTCATATTCGTAGAAGCAGAATTTTTACTGCGTGTTCGGGATGGCCCGAGTTCAGATCTTGGTTTAAAAATCGGCTATCTTGACTGACACCTCTCGAGTTTCCTCAGTCCCTCCGGATCTACTGCCTTTAAAGAATATAAACAGAGATATTTCATATTCAGCGGTCTAATATTAACACTGGTTCCAATTACTTCATCAGATTTATGGTTACAATTTGTCCGTATAAAAATCCACTGTCTGTATAATAAAATAAGCTTTGATCACTTTTACATGACATTACGTTAAGTGTATGATGCACATAGTTCTAAGCACCTTGATGAATAAAAATATCGCTTACTAAATCACCATATGTTTCCCGTAAGGCAACAAATTCAAAGTTATCCCTATTTTTAATTAATTAAGCACTAAGCCACGAAGATAAATGGAGGAGAGGCCGTATAGCTCCACAATTATTGACCTCGGCACTAGATTGAGGTGAGTGGTCAGTTTCACGCCCCGGCCGCTTTGCCCCTCCTATTATAATTACAAGCTAATTTTGAATTAACGTGTGTTACGTTACGCTGACCGTGCTACAATGAGACCCTCACAGCGTACTAATGTATATATTACCGGTCAATACAATGATACATGCAACACTTACCGGACCAAGATTTTCAAACCCATTCCTGCTGGCCACACGGTGGGCCACCTCGTTGCCCGGTTCTCCGTGAAGTCTTACAAGAAACGAATTGGTGAACACCTCTCCAGACACCTTCTGAGTAGTGGAGAACACAGCCAGCACAAGGCAACAGCATAGGATGAAAGTCCTCCACGTTGACGTAGAAGTCTTCCCAGAGAGGAGGTCCCATGTCACCACCATGGCTTGTTACAGACAGAAACCTAGTTCGTCGCTGCTACCGGTGGCAGCGGACCCCACTCCGAAACGACGACTGCCACTCGATATTAACCCCCCCACTCCACCCCTATACAAAACATTATAGCACGCCCGTGACGTCAGGCTACCACGTCACATGGAATCGATTTTCAAGATGCGGGTAGTGGTGGTGGAAAGTCCAATATGGCGTCGCGTTTGTGTAGTTTGTCAATTCTCCGCAAGGCGAGGCTACTTCAAGAGTGTAATTTCTGTGCCAAAATGCGCATGCCTGGGTAAACATTGCGCTGCAACATGGATCTAGTCGATGAGCCTTCTCTCTGAAAGATTTTTATCGTTTGATTTTCTAAACAGATATCCCTGTCGCTTGAGTAATAGTATCGAACTGTTCTACAACAATATCAAGGTTATGGTCGACAACAAAATGGGAGAAAGTAAACAACACGAGAGCATGCGTGCCATAAGGCTCATCTATAAAACAAATAAATATCTCACTTCCCGGGAAAGCGAAATACTTGTATCTGAATTGTAAGGAAATAAAAAGAGGTAGTGAAAACGAATCGCCACAGATACGTAAATTTTCAACATATATTTTCCTGATACACAGAGAATTTAATTATGAGACCTAAAGTAACTTTAATTTTAAGATAAATCGTGATATTAAGGATAGAAACGTTCTATGTGATTAAGTATTTAATTCAAGAAATACATTAAATTGTTTTGGTTCCTTATTCAAAAGAATCTATTCTTAGTTTATGTCAATATTTTTGTTGGTATTCTGTGTACCAGAATTTCGAAGTATAAAGTTTAATGGGCATTTCAGATAAGTTGCGAAAATTATTTAATCTTGTATTTGTGCCTCCCCGTCATCAAAAACAGCTTCCGAAATATGCGTCCAGTTTTGATGAGACCTGAGGTATTACACCAAAACTATATTCTTGAGTAGTTTGACTTTGATTTAGTTTTGATTACCTTAAGAGCAATTTTATTTTCAAGAGCCGGAATCAGGTTCTTCTGCATAACTTGAAGGAAAGTACATGCGACGTTTCTGCGCCATTATTACCGCATGAAAATTCAATTCATAACAAGGACAATTTGTCCATGGTTTATGCTAACCGTCTTACAGTGTATACACTTTTTCACCTTATTCTTCACTTCCATACTACATGTTTCAGCATAATGGCATGCAGTACAATAGTTTAACGTGCATAAAGACACCTGAGGATGGCACATTAGTGCTGAAACATGTAGTGTGGAAGTGAAGAATAAGGTGAAAAAGTGTATACACTGTAAGACGGTTAGCATAAACCATGGACATGAATCAATGTAACAGGAGGCTAAAATATAACATTTTTAAGGACCATTTGTTTAAGCATCTAAAGGGACTTTCATTTCTACATTTTGAGTAATTTTAAATTTATTTATTTATATGTTGAAACACCCTACTGTAGTTATGCAACTACTATTTTGTGCAAGTGAAATCTGTTCAAGAAATATTAAGTCATATATTACTTAAGAACCTAACATATTTGGGGGCCTAACTCACAATAAACCGACTTCAGAAAGAAAGGTTGGATGGAGTTGTAGGTATAAATATTAACATAGCTGAATAGGCTGATTGCTGATTGTTTGCTTTGCATAATTTTTGAACCTGAAGACGGAGAAAATATATATCTCCAAACTGTCAGTGAAATTCTGTAGGACTACACGACGTCACATCACACAAGACAGTAAACTTAAATACCAGGTAGTCAGTAAATGGGTCACAAATGAAAGTAAATAAGTTATAATTTATGTGTACACTCCAGCTTCATGAGAGTTTAGGTCGCAGGCACTCATGCGCATGTTCAGAGGCTGGTTTTAGTTGTCAAAATGGCGACCGTGTTTCAGTGTGTACCACCGAAGAGCAGCGTTTTTTTTTGTTGTTGGCGGAAGGACTCAATTCAAAGTATATTCATAGAGAAATGTTTCCTGTTTACGACGGTAAGTGTTTGTGGCGTAAAGCGATTTACAACTGGGTCGAGAAATTCTCTCAAGGAAGTTCGGAAGCCGCAGATGATGCCCGACTAAGTTCGGAAGTGGCTGAGAAAAGAGTCAAAAGACTTTTATGCTGTGGGTTTCGAAGCATTGGTAAAGTGTATCAATGTTGGTGGAGGATACGTCGAGATATGAATGTTCTTTCCAGGTTGGAATTTCACACGTTTTAGGTTTTATATCCAAATGTGACATACTTACTAACTCTCCCAGTAGCTAACTCTTCACTTAGAAGCGGTTACAATGTTTAGTATTTGGAGACAATGAAAATATGAGAACAAATTAAGGACTGATTGCTGAAAAGTTTTTAAAATTCCTAAACTGAGCAACGACGGTCACGGTAGCCGAATGGTCTAAGGCATGCACTGTATTCGTTCGCTCAGAAGCCGGGATCGTGGGTTAGAATCCTACTCAGGTCATGAATGTTTAGTGTTTGTGTGTCTGTGTGCGTTTTTCTGTTTATTTGTGTACAGGTAGAGGCCTTGCGACGAGCTGATCAACATCCCAAGGAGTCCTACCGCATGTCTAAGATCTAGTAAACCGAAGTGAAACGGAGAGTTTCATAAAGGTAGGCCAAGCCCTAAATTGGGGCTGTAGCGCCAAAGAGAAAAAAAATGAGCAACCTGACATGTGGCTCGATACAAATTAGAATCAGATATTTGTCAGACACTCATGGTAATGAATAGTCATGAGAAACGCATTCATACTCTCAACAATTTGTTTCAGTCTTCATAGGGCAAAATCTTCTTCTGGCAATCAGTGAACGAATCACGGAGATCGTTTTTTAAGGACAACCCAATGTTAAGAACGATAAAATGTCAGGTATTAGAGGGCTGGAATCATTTTGGCGAAATCTTGTAACACTGGATTCTGAATTTTTCAAAGGAAACCCGAAGAAGTTCTCGAAAGAATCAATCGCCTAATTTCCTTTGATATAACACGGATCGCATAGGAATAAAAACGGGGAGACAGATATACCGACAGAAGTGTGATTTCATAAGCATCCCTGGTACATTAACCACACACAAAAAAGGACAAATTAGGGGATGCTCAAAGACAGACGCACAGAGAGCAAGGTGACCTCATAACCCTCCTAACAAAATTTATGGGGATACACAGACACAGATGGATACATCGACAGCAAAGCGATTTCATAAGCCTCCTTTGACATTTTTCAAAATAGGGAAAATAGGCTAAGAGCGTCATATATTAGAGGGCCGCCATTTTGGCGAAGCATTACAAATTTGAGTTCTTGTTTTAAAAAACCACCCTGCAGAAGTCAATATTTTATTTCCGCCAGGAAGTAGGAGAAAGTGAGAATGCCGGAACTGAACTGGTTTGAAGACGCAGAGGATTATTTACGAGAGACGAAAGTGAGGCAGCAGATGTGGGCTGCGAATAGTAGAAACGAAGAGTCATCTACTGTAAAGGGGATCAGCTGTAAGAAGTGCAAATGAAGAGTTATATCTTCTGCGATACTGCAACATATTATCACGTGAATGAGTGACTACAGACGGGGCTTGGATTGGTAACTGGATTTATTGAACACTTAGAAAACATAACTACGACAGTCTCACTAAGTTACGCCCTCCAACGTTCACTGTAACTTCAGCACACATTAAGTCGTATCGCTGTCCACTAGCGGTTGCTTAGTAGCGGCTTCCAAAGGCGGACGTTCCCCTTCCTCTGGATTCCGGAACTGTCACCGACCTCAGCTACCATCTACGCTTGGTCTTTCGTCAAGTGTACGTATTGCACATATATCATGTTACTGAAAATTCTTGGTTTTGCATTGTATACAAGTCCGCTGTTAATCCGGGCTTTGATTCTCAACTGTGAATTACTAGTCCTCGTTATCTAGCCCAATCACGGATCGCACAGTAAACGCCTCTTCCATTATTATGTATTCTCTCATTTTCTGGGAAACAACGTGTCCACAGAACTGTTCCCTAACAATGACTGTTGTACTGTCGCCTGTTTACACAGCTGTTACTTGGCAATGGCTCTATATGTCACAGTATAATCCAATGAAAGTAAATCATCATTTCGGAGCAAAATATCGCCTCCACTTCCAACACCATCTTCACCAGAGCCCGCCACTTGTCCCTTCTCTGAGCCAGATAAATCCAGTCTATCATATCGCACTCCATTTTTAAAGATTCATTTCATTTTATATTTAATTTCGTCTCCCACACAGATCTATCCCTTATAAGTGGTTTCTTCCCACCAGATTTTCTTACTGCAATTGTTATGTTCCCTGTAATATTCATAAAATTCTGAATTAACAAAGAAATCTTCTTGAGTCTTTGATGTAATGGAACACTAGTATCCTAAGAATATAAACAAATATCTAAAGTAAATTTCTCGTTTCTCCCTGACGTGATGAGACTGGTAGCAAGAGACTCTAGCAAGTTTGCAGTGCCTTTGACCCACTCTAACAGAATTACCTCGCTCTGACCTTGCTGTATCCTCTTATGCCTGACATAACGTCCCTATGTAAAATGCAGAGTCAAGGTGAAGCGAGAAAAGGGGAAAAAAGATTCCCTGTTGCTGTGTGAGGAACGTGACTATGGCCTGAGACGAGGGATCGTTAATGGCACTTCTGGAGCTTCAAAGGGGGAAAAAAAAGACAAGCGTCTTCCAGTATATTCATTGATGGTAAGAGGTGAACTTGACAAATACACTACAGTGTTTAGCAAACCGTACTTTCGTTGCTTCGATCATAAAAAAGAAACACTGCAAAATTGTGAAAAAATCATCGATTTAGGCTACCACGGGTAGGACACGCTGGTAAGAACCGCGGCCATTCTCCAGTTACTCACTAAGCCGCCAGTGTTCGATCCAGGGTCAGGTCATGCAGGATCTGTGTTGGACACGAAGTAGTACTGGGGCGGTTTTTCTTCGAGTACTCCCGTTTCTCCTTGCCAGGTCTCATTCCATTGATTGCTCCACAATCATCTGTCATCAAGGGCTAGTACAATATAGTGGCCAGTGTGCCAAGTGGACTCAGTTTCAT